GAGACTCACCGATGCGACTGCACGGTCACCGAAACACAGTGCCTGGCTCGGCAAGGTCATTGGACTGACACGTGCCGATCCTGTGATGCCACCACCAACGAGCAGCATCCCGATTGCCAGAGGCAATATTCCTGGGGTTGCTTTGATGAGGCCAGTCATGCTTGTCAGTGTACCGTGTCCGAGCGGGCCTGCGACGCGGCGGCGGGCAAAACCTGGACACATGAGTGCCTGGGTTTGCAGCTCCCTTTCATGCTTGCTTGTTTCAGTTTCCGGAAGCAACTTCCAGCCACGCCCACCGAAATTTCGGAAGTGGAACAGTCATAGGGAGAAGGGCAGAGCCAATGTGATGTCTGCAATGGGACATAATGGGACGCCCTCCTGCAAAGGTGCTGGTCGTGCTGCCACGGCTCTGCTTGGGGCTGCTTCGTGCCGGGGAATGGCCCAGAGTCCGGCTGCCACTGCAACTTGTCACGTCAAGTCTGTTGGTACTAGTTACTAGATCTGCGTAGTAATACAATACCTCCATACACACATGGAAGAAGCACCGGTTGACCGTGGAAGCCATCATGAGTCCACAAGAGTTTGGATGTCAACCAGTTTGCAGATGAGATTCGGAGCTGCTCAGATCATGACGCTAGCCGATAAACCTAGTCCATTCCCTAGGAAGGCTCTTGGAACGTACGGCAACTTACGCAAGAGACCGTCATGCGATCAGGCAACCTCTACGAGGGCGCGTGCGCCCTGGACTTTCCTGCCGCCAGTCTCATGGTAGAGAGGGATTAAGTAAGGGTTTGCTTTTCATGAGTGTCCGACTTCGGGATGTGTTGATGTTGCGATCCAGCAGTGCCTGGCAGCGTTGGCTTTCTCTAGCTGGGGTATGTGACGGTATGTGTCCGTTAGCAACTGAGGACGCAACTTGGTCCCACCAGTGCTTCGAGTGCGAAGAGGATGCGGTGCCCGGGCACGCTATAGTAGGTCTTTTCAGTGGGGGAGCAAAAGCTTGGAGGCTTAACACTGTGTATCTTTGTGGACATAAATTGTCATATTGTAGTTCTTGTTTGTCCAGGCTTTGCGCTTGAGTCTTTGGGTGAGGCATTTAACGCTTCTTCTTTTGATGCCTCGTAGCACCTGAAAACTGCGCACGTCGCGCTCGATTATCCTGTAGTTACTTTAGTTGCAGAATACCAGCGCGCCGCTGTCGTAAGCGCAAAGCTTAAGCCATCTTAAGCCGTAGAGTCCTCAGCAAAAGCAAGCCACCCCAACCCGACAGACTGCAACACGTGGCGCCCTGCAGGTGCAGAAGGATGAGGCGGCTACGGACGATGGGGACGTCGGGGTTGCTGTGGCCGTGTCACGGCTGTTCTTCAGCAACGGATTATTGGGACGATTGATGACGAATGGCTTGCTGAAGCTTTAGTTTTGTTGTCCTAATATGGTTTTGCTCTGACATGAGTCGTTCAGAGCCTACAATCCTCGACCGGAAGTTTGGAAGCGGCTGAGGTCTCTGTTTCCGTCACAGTCGTTGTGGTTGCTGCATGCAGTGGCATCTACTGCCTCTGGGCCAAGATGATTAAACCAAAGCCGGTGATCGAGCCGCAGCTCGGCAACACCGTCTGCTCAAAATCCTGCGTCCCAGTCGTTGAGCTCCGCAAACCCTTCAACTAGGCTTCGATGAGGGAGACGGGCCTTCGAAATCCATTTTCTGTCGTATGTCTTGGCGCCGAGGTACAACAGCCCGCAGTTCAATCAGTCAGATGTGGTGGTGGGTCTGGCCGTGCCCGGTTCGGCTCCATCCCCTGCTGCAACTTCCAAAGAGGTTGCTTGATATTGCTTGAGAACTTGAAAAGCCCATAGGGCTGGACGGACGCGACATGCAGTCCCAAGCCAAACGTGCACCTTTTTTCGCTTACTCTCCAAAGGAGGCTGTTGGTGCAGTTGAAAGCTTTTTAATGGCTGTAACAGGCCGGCATATCTGTTCGATTCGCTCTTGACCTCCCAAGCAGTCACATTTTTGTGTTCCGCTGTAGTGGCCTGCTAGGAGTGTCGGCGGTTTTGTGTCGTTGCATCCGCAGACAAGCATTTTTGTGAGAGGGCCCAATCCGACATGCTGCTTCTTTTGCCAGAAGACAGAGGCAGAGGTATGCAAGAATTGTAATAGTTGTATAGTGGAAGGCGGCCTTCATGACTTGTATTGGAATTTGTAAAATATGCGTCCAATTTTGAATGCTTGTTCTTTCCTCGCTGGTAGGCTCGAGGAGGAGGCCGCAAGGCCCGAGATGCATCAAGACCCTGCGCGGTGCACAGCGCGCGCGCTGAGCTCCAGCTGCAAAAACATGGCGGACCATGGACAGTGTAACTCCACTGAAGCAGACTATGCCACAACTTCGGGAGGGAGAGAAGGAAGCCTAAGCCCTAAACAAATTCGCGGACAGAACTTCGGCTCCTATCCGCATAGACAGCTTTAGGGTTTGCGGGGCCAGGATTGCCTGGCCGTCAAGATTGCGCTGTCCCACGGCTCCTAGGAAATTCTGTTCACGGGTTGAAGCCTTCTACCGGCACCCTCATGTCGCCATGTCTTTTAGGCCGCTTGATGTGGGAGGCATTTGTTGCTCCAGCACGTGATTTCGGCACACGCCTGTTCCTGTTGCCATGGCGACCGTTTCCATGCTAGTGCTCCTCTACAGCTTCGTGGCGGCAGAAGCCAACACCGGCACCGGCACGGGATGCTACAACGTGGAGACTCACCAGTGCGACTGCACAGTCTCCGAATCTAC